CTCCGCCTCGAGCTTCCTTTCCGAACATACGGCTTTATAAACAGTTCCACGCAAATTAATAGCGATATAATATATCTGACAAAATTGTTTTTAGAAGCATTTTTATTAAAGAATCATAAATGCAACGATAAACATATTTAATTAATTTTAGTGCCAATTAAGGGCTTGATTAAAAAAAGAATTATGAATTGTAATTATTTTTAATGATCCGCGGAAACCCTGGTTCATCTGGCGCATGCCCTCTACGATCTCCAAGGAACTCAGAGCGGAGCGGAGGGGACAGCGGCGGCTGTAGGCTTTGCTTTGTGCAGGCGGTCTGGAGCGCAGCGGGGCGGAGCGCTGACGGAGTATGTTCTCCAAAAGTCGCTAGATTTGTCGCTAGTCGCTTTTTTGAAAAAGAGTCGCTGGAGGGGTCTGAAATATGGCGTCAAAGTCGCTGAGTTGGCAACACTGGGGCGCGAAAGTTTATTCCGTTACAAATAATATGCCGACGTCACGTCAATCATCATTTTGGTACTTCAGTTCCAGGGGAAATTTTTCTCATATCTAATGTTCTTTTAATTAGACTGCATGTAGGCTAGTAATGATTACTTTGTGGGTTTGATTAGTCTAAAAAGCGGCAACATACAGCTATAAGGACAGTTTTCTCTCACACGTTATAGTCACACACACACACACACACACCGGAACTTGGCGCGCCCCACCTGTCACGTCTCAATTCCCCACCAGTGGGTCGCGCCACACACTTTGAGAACCGCGGGTGTAAACTGATGAACTCTTTAGGCTGTTTGCTTTCTTGTAAATAGACAATCTGACCACTAGGTGGAGTAAGGCTCTAATCTAACAGCGACCACTGAATGTTTTTATGTTAGTTTAAAAATGGTTAAATGATCAAAAAACTTTTGGATTGGTGTCAAAGCATCTTCAAAAAACTGAGTGTAAGTCCAGTTGCTTTCCTATTTAAGCCTGTTTGAGTTTCACCATAGATGTGTTTTTAAAAACCGATCAAATGAAAAAAGATCTGATTGATCCATAAAAATGTTGTTTCCGATTTAGCCTCATGTAGAACTCATTGAAATTTGGTGATGATCTGAACCAGGGATTTTCTAAAGGATTTATTTCACATAATTTAATAGAGAAATGATTCTTTTCTCTCTGATTGCTATAGTTCTACAGCAGGATGATAGCAACATGCAGATCATGAATGTAAACAGAATCTGTTGGATGAAGCAGTCAGAAGGCCGCAGCTGGGGGTCAGAGGTCAATAAAGCTGCAGGTCAACTATTAATAAAAACAGAATATAAAACTAAGGAATATATTTACTCATTAGATCAGAGCTGTCGGTCATTTTGATCCCATGGAAATAATCTAAAGAAGCAGCAAATCATAGATCATTTAGAACAACTTTTATCTCAGAGCTAATAGTCTGAGGAGCTCAGCTGCGTCTTTAGCTGCTGTTAGACCTCAGCAGGCTCCACCTGATGATTGTTCTTAAAGCTCAGCCCCAAGCCAGCTGATGACTATGGAGGGTTTAGTCCTCACCCACAGACATGTTTCTAACAGGGACTCCATGTTTCAGCTTGAACGGATCAGAACACTAGATGATCTCTGATCATTTTCAGCTCCTGATGCAGCAGAAGATCTCTGCAGCTCTGCAGACATGAACATGTCCCCTCCTACCTGCTTGGAGGCCTCTGCTTCCATCAAGGCTGTAGAAATAGATTACAATTTTTTTAGGCCAGCAGAGGGAGCTATTTATTCAAACTTCATCAGCCATTAGCAGAATTATCATCTGATATTAGAAAATGTTGTTTGTTAATCTTTTCCTACATCTAATAATCAAAATGAATATGGATGGATGGATGGATGGATGGATGGATGGATGGATTCAGCTGACAGTCCACTTTATGACCAGCCTACATGTTTGCTTGCTACAGTAGTAGGAATGATCTGATCAGTCAGGTTGATTTAACCTGTAGATCCTAACTGTCTTTGGTCTGGTCTACTTATGGCCCTGCAGGCCACCATCCATGATAATACCAGGTCTGAGTTGGAGCATTTCTTTTTTTTTTTTTTGAAAAAAAAATTAGAAAATGAAAACTGGGATCCTATGTCAATTGAACAGACATGTTGAAACTATCACTTTGCATTGTTGTTGTTTTTAAATAATTAGTAAATCAGAATTTGTGAAGAAAAAAAAATGAAATAGATGCAGAGGACCTATCAGTTTTTTTCATAACTTTCCATCTGATGAGATCTAAACTGGTACATTAGTGTTTATTCTAACATAAGTTTATGAAAGTGAAAAACACTTTACAACTCAGTTACAAATAAATAATAGAGGAAAATTATAATGCTTAAGTATTTCACTGTTTCAGTGCCAATATCTATGTAAATATAATGTGTAAAAGTATAAAACCCTAATTCTCCTCATTTTCTTCATCCTCCTCTAATGATATATCGTTAACATCTGCTCCAGATGTGACCTCACTGATTAAAGCCTGAATAAAAACGTAGACGAGTGTCTTTTTGTCCTGAGTGTCTCTGTGTTGCCCTGTGATGGATTGATGAGCTGTTCAGGATTTACACAAAGCCATTAGGACTCAGAGAGTCTTCATTCAGACCTGCTTATTGATGAGATCTGCAGAAACAGTGGCGGTTCTAGACCAAATGTAACGGGGGTGGATTGGGGTGGGGGGTTTGGGGGTCAGCATGTGTTCATGGGGAGCCTAGAAAAGCATCAAATAAAAACAGGGAAAGGGATTAAAATATATGAAGATAGCTGCATGAAGAGAAATCTCTATTCAATTAGGTTCAATCAAAATTCTATGTCTTATTAGGTCGATATGCATTCATGATTTAGAAATTTCCTTTTTATTTTATTCAATTAACAATATAAAGTCTAAAGCCATTATATTAGGTCTACGAGTTCAAAAGAAAAAAGGAAGAACTGTAACATAGAACATCCACCCAACTTTACTCCTCTGTCAGAATGTCCAGGCCTATGGAGGAAACATTTAGGGCCTGATTGGAGCCGTTCTGGGGGAAAGCTGAGGTCCAGGAAATGAACCAATCTGGAAAGAAATCTGTAACTTTCATTCAGATGCAGAAGTGCCAGTAAAGAGGAAATCGTCATTTTGATGACTTCATGCTGCATGACACACACGGCTGACCTCCAAAAATACAATATTTCTTCACTGTAATCTGTGTGATGCATGCTAATCCTCACCTGCACACTTTATGGGTTTTATAACTGAACGCTTCATTCGTTCACTACGTTTGTGTAACTTCTATTATTTGTAGTTCTATCCTTGAAGGTTGTGCATCCTTCCTGTGAGTGTCTGTCCTGTACTGACATCCATAAAGCGGAAGGCTTTCAGTAAGGGGCGACTGAGCCAACCAGACCTGGCGGTAAGCTTGAACACAGAGACAAACAGGACAACCAACCATTCACGCACACATTCACACCTAAGGAGAATCTAGAGAAGCCCATTAACCTACCTTTCATGTTTTTGGACTGTGGGAGGAAGCCGGAGTACCTGGAGAGAACCCATGCATGCTCAGGGAAGAACATGCAAACTCCATACAGAAAGAAGAACCAAGAACCTTCTTGCTGCAAGGCAGCAGCGCTACCCACTGCTTCACTGAGCAGCCCATCACAATGTTTACTTTACAAATAAAAATTAATAATTTCAGCACACAGCAATGCTAAACTCTGACTGCAAGTTTACTTCAGGGAAATAGACTTATTAGATTTTTAACTCTATTCGCTAACAAACTGATGTGTTGATTTTACTGCCAGTCATGAGGGCTTCCTCCCTTCCCATTGTTGTGATTTTATGTTCAATTCTTTTCCCAGCCAGCTGGGAATTTATATTTCTATATAAATAAAATATCTAATTTGGACCGATTAAGTATGAATAATTCAAATAAAGCTTTTTCAAATCAGTTGACAATTAAAGTTAGACTGCAAGAAAAGAAATCAGTCGATGCAAAAACTTGATAAAATAAGCTTTTGCTTTAAAAATAAAAAATGTTTATTTGTTTTTGCTACAACGTGGTTTTTCTGTCACACATTGAATCACAGCAAATGGCACAAATTTTAGAAGCAAAAAATACATTCAGGAGTAAATATTCATTCAAAACAAGGAATATAAAACAATTCAAACTGGCTGCAAAGTTAAAATGATGCAATTCAAAGAATAACTGAAAACAATAATTGGCTGTTAATAACATTTTGCACTGGATAAAAAGTGCAACACACATATAGGTTTATATCCTGAATATTTCAGCATTTATAGATGATTAAATGATGAATTACAGCGTTTATTCATGTTAGTTTATTTACTTTTCCTTTAATAGTTTTAAAGGATCTGAAGCTGCAATAAAAGCAGGTTAGAAATGAGCTGCATGAAAATAAGCAGATATATTTGAGATAACATGCAACATTACAATGGCTGGATAGAGAGAAGAGGGGAGGAAGAGGAGCAGAGGGGAGAGAGGAGGAAGAGGAGCAGAGAGGAGTAAAGAGGATGAAGAGGAGCAGAGAGTGGCACATAGTAACAGTAACACTTTCAGTGTGGATAGGAAGGCTGAGGAATCAGGGATTTTGCTGCAGGCTCAGAGCAGAGAAGAAGATCAGAGATATCAGAGCATCAGAGGAAAATAGTGAAACATTAAAGTTAATGAGACATAAAGGAAAATCTAAAATCCCTGATAAGGTAACAGATGTAGAAAAGCCTGCTATCAGTTCAGAGGCTGGACTAATGGCTGCCTGATGATTGAAGATGTGAGCTGCTGTTGATCAGCTGGATCAGAATGAAGGACTGGAAGCATCTCTCTCTGCTGGACAATCAGACACATCAGGACCAGTTCTAACTGGTTTATGCAGGATCAGGAAAACTGGATCTGAAATAAACCCTGAAGGTACTAAAAAATCCCACATTTTCTTTGCCTTGAAGCTCCAAACGATGAACAGCTTTCAGATTTTTACATATTGATGGTAAATAATGATGGAGAGGTTGTTTCTCAGGAGGTTCAGGCTGGTTCTGGATCAGAGTTCTGGGTCCATCTGGGTTCAGATGTTCAATCTGTTGCTGTTCTGACTGCAGTGTTAATAATTCCCACTGTTTCTCTGCACCTTAAACACATCAGACCTCCAGCTGTCAGAGTTGGTTCCGGACTGAACCTATTTTTGCTGAGGAGACAAAATAATCAGAACACTGTTAGAAACAAGTCAGAAGGACAGAAAGACACTGATGGACAGAGAGACAAACCTTTGACTGTGAGATAAACTGTTTTCACTCTCAGCAGTTTGTTGTCCTTCTCAACACTACATCTGTACGGTCCACTGTCCTCCATTGTTGGATTTTTCAAGGTCAGACTGAAGTCTCCAGTTTTCAGAGCATCGTTGTTCATCTTGGTTCTGGTTTCATTGGACGGATCTTCAGGCTGATCAGAACCTGTCATACACATGGACAACCCTGTTTCTACCAACGTCTATCCACTCCACTGTGACCTCTCCCAGCTCCTCAGGTAATGTTGTCTTGAACGGCAGCAGCACAGACTCCGCCCCCTCCTCCACCTCCACCTGATGGACTGAGAGAACAAAGAGGAAGATGAGCTGTAGAAAGCAGCAGATCTTCATCACTTTATTGACTGATTGTAAATAAAGCTGAAGGCCAGAAGGTAACAGAGAGGAGCTGCAGATGATCAGAGTCTGGATGCTGCTGAGCAGCAGTGTGCAGCTGCTGATCTTCTTCCTCCAGTCCAGCACGTCTTTGTCTCCATGTTCAATAATCTTCTCTGGTGAACAGACACCTTCATCCCACCTCAGCAGGATCTTAACGTCAGCAAATATGGTGGCAAAGTATTGCTGACTTTGTAAATCTGCAAGTTTCACATCAGTGTGATAGAAGAGCCTAAATCACAATCAGGTCACAGATTAGCGGACCGCGGTGTTATGAACAACATTAAATCCAAAGATTTTGTCAGAGGTACGGCTGATTTATTTGTTCTAGTCTCTGGTTATTCACACACAACAATAAACAGTGATGCTGACGGGAGTTTGGAAACTGCAAAGCTTTGTCTTATAGTAGAAAATCAAACGCGCATCTACACAGCACAGCGTTCACAGATCGGTGTGATGCACTCATAAGCGTCAGATAGCTATGGTGCATTCAGGAGCATGGGACATTTCATACTCACAAGGAAAGAGACATAAACAGAACAGAACTTAACTCATACAACAATGTATTTATTCAGAAACATTGTGGGCTTCTTACAGTACTGAACACTCTATAATTGTATTTCTGTTTTTTATTATTCACATCTGCTAGCTCTTTATTCTGCAAAAACTTTAATTATTACAGCAGCAAATTATCAAATTTAGCCTGTTTAAAAGTTCCAAATGAGGCTTCAGATCAGACAGCCATAATCACCCTGTCATTGTTTTATAGGCAGAATTAGCATTTGCTGACCCTTGACCTTTAACTACTGATGGATATACAGGAATACAGTCACAGTGTAAACTCCTCTGAGATAACATGGGATGCAAGTTTTGGCAATTTCATTTTTTGTTTTTTCAAAATTCATTTTATTTCAGTGTTAAATTCTGTATAAAGTTACAGATCATAAAAATGTCTCTGGACCTTTACTGGTTGATGATTTTCTTTATTCAGACCCCGCTGATTTTTAATTGTTTACCCCTAATTTAATATTCACTTTTACTAGAGTAAAGAGGTCAAGTTGATACTTCAACTTTTACCAGAGTGTTTTTAAACTGCAGGATCTATACTTCTGTGTGAACTTTTGACACCACTGTTCACTATGATAACCGGCGTCAGTTTTCCCATAATCTTAATTCTGCTGTTTTTCCAGTGTGCTGGTGGCTGGTATTTTCTTCCCCTTTAAGGTAATCACGTGACTCCACCCATCCAGTCAGAAGCATTAACAAATAGAATGGTGGATTAGCCCAGTGAAGAAACGTCTAACAGCTGTAAATGTAATTTCATTAGCTAATGAAAGCAGTGCGAGTTTAAACGATGCAGATTGTTCTTACTGCATGCTCAGCTCCATGCTACCAAAATTACACCATAGATTGTGACATTTTAGACTAGAATGGTTGCCGGTTTAATGCTTCATTGCTTCTATAAAAGATTTATATTTTAAAGCATAAGAAGCCAAAGTTGGTGAATCATTAGAGCTTCTGTTTTAGCAAACAATGTTTCTAAATCACTTCCTCTGTTTACTAGAACAGTTCATGATTAACCATTTTCCTACTACTTTAGACGGAGGAAAAAACTAAACTAATGAAATCATTTTAAACTTTTTTCTGGGCTCTGAAGTAATGACAGTTTTATGAGGCAAAAGTAGCAAGAAAAGAAGAACAGAGAATCAGAAAGGCTCCAGTTCACTTGGCAAAACAGAAAAGTATAAAGATTTATATTTCTGAATGATGGAGATTAGTTCTGGTCTCTGTGCCGATCAGAGGAAACCTGTCTGATCCGAGCAAAGGAAAAAAGGAGCATTGCTCTGCATGGTGAACAGGTGGTGTTAAGCTTCCTGCATGTTGGATATTAGGACCGTTACAAACTGGTGACTCTGGAAGCTCAGACTGATCATTGGGCCATGAATTCTACTTCCTGGTGGATTATTTATTCATGCATCTGCAGCTCTTTGATGCTCTGAATCAGACCAATAAGAATGATTGACAAACACTTTTTATTGAACATAACTATTCATCAAATTACCATTCTTAACGTTTTTATTATAAATATATTAACTGACTTCATAGTGAATTTTTTTTAACTGGTATTGAAGACGAGAACAACTGATTATGTTTAATGCTTAAAGTTAACTTTAAGCATCCAGCAGGCTGAGGTCATCTGTGATAGAGCTTATAAAGACAGGATGTTACAAGAGAAGAAGAAGAGCCTAAAATCAAGTACCGTATTTCCCAGACTATAAGGCGCACATAAACGTCTTTTTTTTTCCCTCAAAATGTGCGGTGCGCCCTATGTGTGTTGTAACTGCGACTTTTGAGACCACTTCATTGAGGAGATGATGAAAGAGTGGCTGAATGTAAGGAGACCAGGTGTTTTTTTTTCACTCATTACCATCGCTGTTAATCTGACTCCGTGCGTGCCCATCTCACAGCTGATGTGAAAAACAAGGTGAAACAAATGAACGCTGTGCTCGCTGTTATTCAACCGCTTGACATCGGTGTGAACCAGGCGCAGCAGAAGCAGCGAGTTTACATGCAAAGTCAATGGTTGACGCGCGTATAGACGCAGCAAAAGGTCCTGCAGCGCGTTTTGAGCAGCAGGCGCTGCGCGTCCCGAGCGTTTAAGCATCTGACATGTCGCCAACGTGCTTCTGCTGCTCGAGATGGAAAAATTGAAGTTTTGCTGCTGGACGCGCCGCATCAACCAATCAGAGAAGCTGATCTGGAAGCTGACAGCGAGGCAGACACATCACTGATGATACACATATACACAGCACTGTGATCGCTCCTCTGAAACAGTTTATTGACGCCTAAATCAACCTAACCTCCCGACAGAATATGTTTGCTTTTATTGTCCAGTTTTCAGGTGGATTTTCCTGCTTAAAAACATATTAAAACGACTTTATTCCCACTGATCACAGCAAATATAGCTGCAAGGTGTATTTAATACAAAGTATTAATCAAACCTGGGAGCTGGCCGTGAGACAGACACAGCGCTCTGATGATATATGATATTAAGGCAAATGAAAAGGGCTGGATGGATGAGGAGATGATGAAAGCGTGGCTGAGGCAGGTGTTTGTGAGGAGACCAGGTGTTTTTTTCCACGCATCACCATCGCTGCGTGCCCATCTCACAGCCGATGTGAAAAAAAAGGTGAATCAAATGGACGCTGTGCTCGCCGTTATTCCGGGAGGTCTGACAAAGGAACTTCAACCGCTCGACATCGGTGTGAAGCGGCCGTTCAAAGTAAGGCTGCGAGCGGCGTGGGAGCGATGGGTGACAGACGGAGACCACAGTTTCAGGATAAGTGGAAGGCAGCGCCGGGCAAGTTACGCCACCGTTTGCGGATGGATTGTAGATAACGTGTCTGCTGGCTCTGTTGTTCGAGCTTTCGCAAAAGCCGGCATCATTTCTGAGGAGCCGCGCTGCACGGAAAGTGACTCCGACAGCGAAGAAGGGGAAATTGGCATGTCTGATTTAGCGCAGCTGTTTAATTTAGAAACAGAGGATGAGGACTTTGATGGGTTTGATTAATACTTTGTAATAAATACATGAATAAAGCACAATCATACCCGCTCTATTTTTCTACCTGAAAACTTAATTCAGCAGCAGCCTCTGGGCGCGTCTCCTCCGCGTATACCGCGGTGGCTGGCAGGTGTTTTTTCATCTAAATAATCTAAATCTTGCAGCTATATTTGCTGTGATCAGTGGGAATAAAATAGTTTTAATATGTTTTTAAGTGAGAAAGTCCACCTGAAAACTTAATAATTGCAGTCAGTTCATCCAGATTATCTATTTCTGTCGGAGGCGCTCAGACCCCCACATACCAGCGGTGCGCCGACAGGAGAAATCCTTTCAACAGCAGCCTCTAAGCCGGGCAGCCTCCGGGTTCACGCGGCTGCTGGCAGGTGTTTTTCATCTAAATAATTTAAACTGCAGGCACCAGGATACCAGTAATAAAAGCGAACATATTCCGTCGGCAGGTTTCAGGATTTTAAGTTAATTTAGGAGTGATCACAGCGCTGTGTCATCTGCGATGTGTCTGTCTCACGGCCAGCTGCCAGGTTTGATTAATACTTTGTAATAAATAAATGAATAAAGCACAATCATACTCAGTTTTGCCCCCGCTGTATTTTTAAATACGCAGTAGAGGTATTTAAAGGTAGTAGAGGACATGTACAGGTATATAAAATCCGCGCCCTATAGTCCGGTGCGCCTTATGTGTGTGTTAAATACAGAAATGGGACACATAACTGAGAGTGCGCCTTTTAGTACGGTGCGCCTTATGGTCGTAAAAATACGGTACATGAAATAATAATTTTCCTATTCTTTTGGGTTTTTTTAACACATTTCTTTTAGTAGAAAAAAAAAACAGTTCTAAATGTTTTTGTTGTGCACCCTATCTCCTCTCCTTCATACATATGTAGAAATGTATTTTTTGTTGTTTTTTTTCCTCTCTTAGCTTTCTCTCTCTTATTTGATAGAAGATAATGAGGATTAAAGAAAATAAAACATCAAAAGAACCAAATATCAGAAGATTGTCAGAGCATCCAGCTGCTCCTTCATCTATTGATCAGATGAGTGTTTGTCAGGAGAAGTGATGAAAACCTGGAGCTGGAAACTGGTCCCTGTCTGGACCGGACCTCTGCCTCCTGCTCTGGTTCCTCATCTTCCCTCATTCTAATGTTGGTTCTGGAAAAATGCTGAACTCATTCCATCATATTTACTGGGACTCTGAACCTCAGACAGACACATTGACCTTTGACCTTCTAATGAGCCTCTGATCACTATTGATCACAACTGATCAGCTGATTGGAGAAAATACAACATCAGAGTTAAACCACTGACCTTTGACCTTTAGCTCAACGAGTTTCGTCATCAGGATCTTTCCCTCGTTGCTGTAGACGATGCAGGTGAAGGTTCCACTGTCTCCATCTGTTGGGTGTCTCAGAGTCAGACTGAGGTCTCTAGTTCTCAGCGGGTCTTCATTCATCTTGGTTCTGTTGCTGTAGAACTGGTTTTGTTCTCCAGGACGATCAGAACCGTTCTCAAACACATGGACCATCCTGTTCCACTGGTACATCCACTGCACTCTAGCGTCTCCAGGCAGGTTATCTCTGGTTCTGCAGGGCAGCAGGACAGACTCCTCCCCCGCCTTCACCTCCACCTGTGGGACTGAGAGACAACAAAGGAGCAGATGAGTTGGACAGACAGCAGCAGCAGCAGCTCTGAGGACATTTTCTCTGACTGGATGAAGGTCCAACATGTTGGACTGGTTCCAGTCTGAAATGTGTCCATGTCTCCAGTGAACAGAGACAGTGTTGTCTTTGCTGTGGGTCCAATCAGCAGCAGAACCCACTGTGGGACAGTGTGTCCTCAGTGTGGACAGCAGAGCCAGCAGAAAGCTGCAGACTGAACCAACCAGCATCAACACTGAGTTCCAGCTGCTCCTGCTGTTCTTCACACAGTTCTTTGTCTTTATTATGAGGCTGATGGCTTCAGATTAATAAACATCATTAAAGAGGAAAAGTCAGAGAAACAAACTTCCTAAAAACTGCAGATCAAAAAGCAAAGACCGAGAGATCAGAGTCTGGAGAGCTAATTAGAGCCACGATGGCAGCAACCTGTTAGAACAATTTCTTATTTATTTTTTTATTAATCAGCTGATGCCTCTAAGCAGGAGTTCTAACAAGAGTTAAGAACAAAGTGAGTCCAAGATTGTTTGTTAAGAAGAATCAAAGCAGGAAATCAAATCCTGGCCTAGAGAGGAGGAAACATGAGGAGGAACAGAGCTGATTAAAGGCCATGGAGAACCCAGCAGCAGATGATTGGTTCAGAGACAGACAGCTTCTAACAGGGACTCTGGCTTTAGCTAAATGTTAGCTGCTTTCTGCACAGCTGCTGCTCCTCCTGCTCTCCCTGGAATCTGTGCTGAAATCTTTGATGCTCCTGCAGTGCATCCAGTAAAGTGTGTCCAGATGCATCTGATGCTCCTGCTGCTCCTCCTGCTCTAGACGCAGGACCTTCTGCTGCGCTTTGATGCGCATCAACCATCATCTTTGCATGTAAACCAGCTGCTTCTGCTGCCCAAAGCACGTCTGGTGTGAACAATGGAAGCGGAGGACGCTGCTCTATCGTCCTTTACTTATTCTGAGGTTTCTCTGGTTCTCATTGAGACAGGAGGCAGAGGGGCGATGGATCAGAGGAGACCCGCTTAGACCAAGACCCACCAGAGAGACCAGGAAGGAATCAACTGGATCCAGGAAACTATGGTGATCAAATCCCTATATGAATATTCCTTTAGATGGGTGATAACCGGGTTTCAAGGACAGCTTTAGTTTGACCATCCATCCATGAAGGTAGAGAAGGAACCCGGAACACAATATTTGACTCTGATGCTGATCAATGTTAAATAAAGCAGGTTAAAGCGAGGAGGAGGAGGACTCCTCTCACCGGGAGAAGCTCCTGGATCCAATATCACCTCTGATATCGATCAATTATCAGTGATGGATATCGGAGATCTGATCTAATAAACTTTATCTCTCTTTGTTGCCCACTTGTTCCACTCTATGAACAACTTTTGAATCTCTGTGGAGAGACCATCAGTGTTTGGAAAACCCCAAAAGCTCAGAAACAAAGAGTCCACTTTGGGTCATCCAGACTCAGCTCTGATTCGATGGGACTTGTTGTAAATTTACCCCTGCAGAAAGCTTCCATGCTGGGCAGTGAGCAGTGATGGACCGGGCTCTGTGCTGGAGGTGAGGGAGGATGATGAACAGTCCCTCTAGGACTAAATTAAAGCTTTTTTTAAAACCACCTAAAGAACTCTGGAGAGCATTCCTTATTTCTACCTTTGTTAACATTATTATCTCCATTTTAGGAGAAAAAGCTCCGCCTACAACCACTGATGGGGGTCAGAGGGCCGATGGAGCCAGAGCACTGCAGCCTCTCTTCTGTCAGTGAGCCCCAGGGCAACTGTGGCTACAATGGAGCTAGCCACCATCAGTGTGTGACTGAATGGATGAATGACTGTGTAGGAATATAAATGCAGCTTATTTTAGTTAGAATATTGATTTTTATTTTATTTAAATTTATAAGTAAGATGAATATTGTTTGTGATTTCATGATTCAAAGGGATTTAAAAGGATTGAAAAATGCTATTTACATCTGTACAGTTGATTGATATTGTGTGAGTAAGGGGGGTGGGGGTTATCTTCATGCCAGGGGAGCCAGTGGGAATCAGAAGGAGATTGGAGCGCAATAGCTTTCTGACCTCGCCATTCCCAGGCTCCGTTGGACTTCAGAAAACCTTAATTTATTGGATACATTTCATGTTTTCTGTTGCGTTTAGTTTTGAAGTAAATGGTTAAAATCAACAAGTGGACTCCTGGATTTATTTTCAGTGTTTTTGATAGAAGCTAAAGCTTGAATGAGGACAGTAGGAACCGACAGACTGAATGTAGTGTAAAGCTCTGTGGATGAGTCCTCTGACTTGATGAAGCGCTGCAGAAGAACAGGCTATTTACCATTTACAGCCTTACAGCCAGTCCCTGATTGGCTGCCGTGTCGTTTCTTCATAGTAAAGCTCAGCTTGTTTCTACTTCAGTGATCAGCGCTCCTCTCTCTCCATGCGGTGCTGCTGTTTGACACCTCAGCTCTATCTAGCAGCAATAGGTGGGGGAGGAGCAGTGAACGCCTCACTGTGGGAGTTTAAGGCTGGCTGCTTCACTGCGCGGTTTGCAGAGGAATTCTATGTGAATCCAGCAACTCCCAGTGGACAATGTGCCTGATATGAACGCACCTTTAGGGGGGGAACATAATTGACTCTCATTAGAGTGTGAGCTGGTTATTTCTGAGTTAAACAGGGAGAACTGGGTTCATTTATAAAATGGGACTTTATGCTGTTAGCTGGAGAATAGAACTAAATAACTGTTTCTACCAGCAGTGATGATTGAAACTAGGGCTGCAACTAACGATTATTTTAAAAATCGATGAATCGGACGATTATTTTTTCGATTAATCGATGAATCGGACAAAAAATATTTTTTATATTAACCTCTTTATTCCAAAATAAACATTTTAGACAGAACAAACAAGCACACAAGTACAGGTTGCTCATTAACTGTACTGGTGCAATATGAAAAATAAATGTTTGTGTTAAAACTACGCAATCTTACATTGAGAAATGTAGCTGTACATCCACAAAATATAGGGTACTTTGTTTCATAAAGCGCAAAAAAAGACATTTTTGTTTTTAAAAGCCCCTAAGGGGTTCAAACAATAGGCCCCCCCAATTTCAACAAATGAGTTTTTTTAGACTAGAAGAGTTCTGCCTTTTAAGACAGGAAAGTATAGCAGTTAAAGTTGCTACTTGAGAAAATACTGAACCATAGAGATAAAAATAGCCCTGTGATTCAAATTATAAATTGTATTTGGAATAAAAATGAGAGAACTAGGGGTGCTAAAAAACACATCCTCAAAAGACAGATATTTACATGGGAATGTGGCAGATAATTAATTGACATATTACTGATCTTGCTGGATTTTATTCTGCTTTACTTCCATAAATTGCAGGATCTTCTTTACTTTATCTTTGCCAGAAGATTTAAACTTTAAAAGCCTTGCCCTCATAATTTTCAAGTTAATTTATTTATAAAATAAATGTAAACGCTGCTTAAGCTAATTCAAATGAAATTAAAAGTCAAATAAGTAGCCAACCTTATCACTGTCTGTAACCTACTAACAAGGTAAGGAAAGCATCAGATGAGCTACCTGAGAAACTAACGTTACGTTTCCCCACTTTAAAACCAAACAAACATGGTGGTTCCGTGCCATGTTAATTTCTTTTGAAAAAAGTTGCATGTTATCACTTTTTTCCCTTTACAAAGCGCAGGCTATTTTAATTATTGTGATCAATTTGCGCCGTCAATCCCGGTGCATGCGCGCTTCATTTGCAGTCTGGACGCTGAGGCTCTGACTGCAGAGCTGAGAGGGACTCCTGCGGGAGCGGGGGGAGGCGCCCCACGGCAGAGTAGGAACGATACATGCTTTCACGTAAGAGTCTCCAAAAGCCGCCAGTGACACCGAAAAAAGTCGCCAGATTTGTCGCTAGTCGCTTTTTTGAAAAATAGTCGCTGGAGGGGTCTGAAAAGTCGCTGAGTTGGCAACACTGCACCTGCGGCGCTGACTCGCTCTGCCATATTTTTTTTTCTTCCTCTTTCAGTCAAGAGGCAGTGATGACGGCGGCGGCGGATGACGCATTAATCGCGCGACACAACTAATCGATGATGAAATTCGTTGCCAACGCTTTTAAAAGTCGATTTTTATCGATTTTATCGATTCGTTGTTGCAGCCCTAATTGAAACCTTTCTAGATCTATTCCTCCCTGAATATCAACACCTGCTCAGTAAACATTGTTGCTGCTCCAGTCAGCTCTATGAACTGAAGGCAAGTTAGCAGAAAGTTTGGCCCTCTAATGCAGGAGTCTGCAACCATTTCCAGGGCAAGGAGCCCAAACTGATGGGAGATGGAGCAGGGACCCCCTAATTATATATACTGTATGAAATAGTGTTCTATCAAACTGGTCCTATAGTCACTCTATTACAGATGGAGTAATGTAACTAAAGTAATCCCTTCCTGGGATTATTAAAGTATTTCTGATTCCTGGTTGATGGGACAGGTGTTGTGAATGAAACGGTGCCCAGCTTGAAAGAGCTCCTGTGTGTCTCTGAATGTGAGCATTGATGACTGAAAGACATCTTCTGCCTCCATTTATCTGTTTAATTCAGTGTGTTCAATTCATGTTAATGTGGATTTAAAGACATTTCGATTACTGGAAAAAAGTTGTATAAGGGAATACATAAAAAAAAAAAAAAAAAAAAAAAAAAAAAAAGTTGGATCAACCAAAACTTTAGCGACCCCCATGCAGTACCTCCATGGACCCCCTAGGGGTCCCGGACCCCCCTCTGTTCTAGACAAAAACAATAACAACATTAAACCTGACCTTTGACCTGGAGGTAAACCTGATTTTTCATCTGGATGCTGAAACATGTTTCCCTCCCTGCTGTAGATGCAGGGAGGGAAACATTTATAAAGTGTCTCTTTGAAAAGGCTGTGACATTAATAAGAGATCAGACAGTGGAGATCAGGATTATGGGAAACATGGTTTTAGAGACTCACCTGAGCCTGAACGGCAACAACAACAACAATAGAGAAGAATACCAATGAAAATTAGAACCAGGATAACCAGCAGAGCTTTGGCCCAGGATGGCAATTGATCTGTGGAGACAGAAGAAGAACATCATGACCTCTGACTTAGATCTACAACAGTTTTCTGTTTTCTATCACTTTCAACCAGCTGATCTATGATGTTAACTCTTCATTCTCTTCCTCTAACGTCTCTGAGCAGGTTTAGCTCTACTGTCAGCTGCAGGCTGCTCAGTCTAATTAAATGACAAATGTTTCTATTATCATAATGCTTCAGCACTTTACTGTAACAATAAGTACTTTTAAGAAGAATTTTAAAGGTTTCCAGAGTTCTGTCTGGATACAATGATCTGAACTTCTCAATGAACTTTAATTCCTTCAACATGTAACCTTATGGGAACATTGCTATAAATGATCCCATGATTATTCTAACCAGAATATAAATATCATCCTATGAACTCCCATATAATCTAATACATTTTCTAATTCCAGAAATCTATTTTAATGTAGAGCTTTATTGTTTAAAACCTCATTAAACACATTTACATTCATCCAGTGTCTGATGCTTCAGCTACTGATGTTATAGAAAGACCATTTATTCTCTGATTGACCTGACCAGTACTAGTTTTTTATCAGTTATTTGTTTATTATATTGTGTGTAAATTGTGTAAAAGTTAAGCTTTTTGAAATGATTTATTAGTCTAGCAGCTCTATGTTAAAGTGCTTTTCTTTCTATCCAGAACAGGCAGGAAACAAGGCGGCTATCTGCTGAGACGTAAAGTTAGAGGAAGAAACTAGAAAAGGCTCTGATCTCCCTGCAGAGGAGGAACAATCCAGGGAGTCTGTCTATAACAGCAGTGCAGCAGGTCATATCCAGGATATTCAATGTTTTCTGGACTGGTTCAGCAGTAAAAGCCAGACTGGATCTGCTCCTATGTCCTTATTGCTAAAGCAAACAATAGATTTAATTCATGGAACCAAACTGGATCATCAGACGTCCAGCACTAAAACTGAAGCTTAGACTGTTACACATCTGAAACTTATTCATTCATGGATCATTTCTTTCAGTCTAACCCAGATGGGACTTAATATTTGGTATGTCTGAATTTACTCTAAAAAAGTAAAAATCAGTCAAAGTCTAACACAGCCACCAATAAATCAGTTCAGTTCAGTTTATTCGAACAACAAAACAATATAAGATGTGTAAATACAACACAACACAATGAATACATAAACCATAATAAATTGTTCGAAAAGGAATGGGACGAAGTATAAACTTTTAAGTTTCCCATCCCTAATGAATCAAGAGACCTAAGTTGCTCATTTAACTAGTTACATTCACTCTTCCATATTAATCTACCTGTTATTTATCTTTCCTCTTCTACATATTTATCCAAAAGTAATTTTTTGTACCTTCTCTTAAACAAATTTATGTTCACACTCTGCTTTAAACACGGCTGTAGACTATTCCATAACTTCACTCCACTACTTGATATAGTCATTCTTTTCATCGCTGTTCATACCGTCTTCGTTCTGAATACTGCATCTCCTCTAAAATTATATTTTTCATCTCGTTCTTGAAACAATTCAGTTATATTTTTAGCCACTAGTTTGTTTTTTACTTTATACATTACTTGCGCTGTCTTGAATTTTACCAGGTCTGTGAATTTTAATGCATATAGCTGTATAAATAATCGATTGGTGTGCTCTCTAAATCCTACTTTGCATATCATTCTTATTGCTCTTTTTTGTAGTGTGCATATGGATTGTAATGTGCTCTTATAGATGTTACCCCAAACTTCAACACAGTAAATCAAATATGGCAAAAACAATGAAAAATAAAGCATTTTTAGTGATTTTGGGTTCAATATATGACTCGCCCTGCTAAGAATAGCACAGCATTTGGCAAGCTTATTTTTCACATAGCTTACATGTGGTTTCCAGCAGATCTTGTGGTCTAAAATCACACCAAGAAACTTTATTTCATTCACTTTTTTGATTTCTTTATTATCAATTGAAATGTTTCCATTAATCTCAGAATTCTTTCTTCCAAATATGATAAACTTTGTTTTGTCCAAATTAAGAGATAATTTATTTTTATCAAACCAAATTTTAAACTTATTCATTTCTGTTGTAATTAGCTCCAAGATCTGCGGTAAACATTTGTGTCATCTGCAAATAAAATCAATGACAGTGCCTTTGAAACTTTACAGATGTCATTGATATAAATGATAAATAATTTGGGGCCCAGCACTGAACCCTGTGGTACTCCACATGTAATTTCCAAGAGCTCTGATTTATGTTCCCCTATTTGAACAAATTGCTGTCTATTTCCTAAGTAGCTTCTTATCCAATCCAACCCAACTCCCCTTATCCCATACCTTTCTAGTTTGGTCAGCAATATGTTGTGGTCAATGGTATCAAAAGCCTTTTTTAAATCAATAAAAACCCCAACTGCCACTTTTTTATCATCAATGCAATCTGTAATTTCCTCCATGAGTTGTAGTAGTGTCTGGGATGTTGATCTGTTTGACCTGAATCCATATTGATTGTCAGTGTATATGTTGTGTTTTTCCATAAAGATATCTAGTTTAGTGGTAAATAGTTTTTCAATTATTTTGGAAAATTGAGGGAGTAAAGAAACTGGCCTATAGTTTGTAAAATGGTGTCTGTTTCCGTTTTTGAACAGTGGAATAACTTTGGCTATTTTCATTTTGTCTGGAAATGTACCTGTTTGAAAGGACAGGTTACAAATATAAGTTAGTGGTTTAATAATTTCTTCCATAACAATCTTAACAGTTTTCATATCTATTTCCATCCAATCAGCAGAGGTTTTATTTTTGCAGTTTTGTATTATTTCTCTAACATCAGTCTCAGTCACTGCACCCAGAAAGATTGTGTATGGGTTCCTTTCCCCCCATGTCTTCGCAGACAGATGTATTTGTCTCTGATATTTTTGACGCAAGCTCAGGTCCAACATTGACAAAGAACCTATTAAAACCATTAGCAACGTCAGTCATATCCTTTATAATTTTGTCCTTTTCAGTAAAATATTCCGGTAATTTTGTTCCCTTTGACTCCTTTCTCACAATAATGTTTAAGATAGTCCATATACCTTTAACATTGTTTTTATTTCCTTCCAGCAATTTATTGTAGTACTCCCTCTTACAAGACCTCAATATATTAGTTAATTTATTTTTGTACCTCTTGTATTTTGCTTCTGCTTCCACTGTCCTTTTTTTAAGAAAATGTCTATACAATGAGTTCTTCCTCATACACGCCCTCCTCAACCCCTCAGTCACCCATGGACTATTCATCTGTTTAATGCTTTCTTTAAATTTCTTTACTGGGCAGTGCTTATTGTATGACATATTAAACATATCCATAAATTTCTCATAGGCTGCATTTACATTTTTACACAGGCTCCCAGTTTTGATGTAATAAATCCTGTTTTAAAGCCATCATGGCTCCCTCTGTTTTAATTCTTTTATATCTAAACCCATTAATTGCAAGCTTCTTTCTTCTATAATTGCAATTAAATAATGTAAAAATTGGTAAATGGTCAGATATGTCTGTAATTAATATACCACTTTCTGTGCTATTTTCCATGTAGTTTGTAAATATGTTGTCAATCAACTTGGCACTGTGAGAAGTTATTCTTGTTGGTCTGGTAATGGTTGGATATAGACCCATACTGTAGACTGTATTCATGAACTGTTCCGTCTTTCTATGTCCTGTATTCATGAGATTAATATTGAAATCTCCACAGATGAATAGAAGCGTCTGTGTCTTATTAAAGAAGTGCTCAAACCATTCAGTAAATAATTCAACATTTCCTCCCGGTGCTCTGTAAACACAACTGATAACAGCATTCTTCATTTTTTCTAAACCAATTTCAATTGTGACGCATTCCAGTAAGTCATCCACACATACCGTCATTTTGTCAACAATCTTAGCATTCAACTCATTTTTCACAAAAAATCCCACACCTCCACCAGTCTTATTGTTTCGATTCAGATGCACAAACTCATATCCTTCCATCCCGAAATCCGCCCCCCTTTCGTTGTTTATCCACGTTTCTGTTATTGCTATGACATCAAAGGGATGTACAACTTGACACACATAGTCCTTTATATTTACAAAGTTTGCATACAGGCTTCTGCTGTTAATGTGTAGTACTGATAATTTCCCATCCTGCTTTATTTGATTGTATTGTTTGTCGGTGTAGTAACGACAGTCACTGTTGATGTGAATGTAGAAGTTGTTGTCGGGATCTATATCCTGTTCCATATCTAGTTGGGTATGCTCAGTGTATTGAAATTGGTGTAAGCCTAACTCCGTAATGTCCTGTAAATTGTGAAGGTGTGACATACTGGCCTCCGCCAAATCTTCTTTTATGCTTGTCATGTAGGTGTAGTCTTTGCGTTACCTTACGGTAGCTCCCATGACGTTCCTCATTCAAACTTTCTCAACTCCTCCATACTCCTTACTTGAACAACTTTAGCCTCTTCCGGAGCCCCATTTAACTTGATGATATCTTGCCGTTTACAGTCCACGTTTGTTGTATTTTCTTCAGTTTTTTAATGAATCTCGCTTGTTTGGCTATTTCCGCATTTTCCTTGGTCAGATGTTCATTTACATAAACATCGGTTCCTTTTAATTTCCTCCCCTCTTTCAACAGTGCCGTCTTGTGTTTTCTGTTGCAAAAACGTATCAGGATGGCTTGCCTATCACCGGCATTTCTCTTCGTGATTGGAAAACAAGCCTCGATACTCCCATTGTCCAGCTCAATTCCTTTAGATTGAAAAAAGGAAGTAACTTGTTGCTCCGTGGACGCTTGCATCTCCATATTCGTTTCTCCTTCGTCTGCAGTGACAGCGCGAGCATACGAACGCGGTTTCACCCTGAGGCCTGTGATAATAACCTCGTTTAACCTTGCGTGTTGTTCCAGCTCTGCAACCCGACTTTGTAGTCGCTCGATTTTCTTGTCTTTTTCTGCGTTTTGAATACGAAGTGCCTTGATCTCCTCCACTAAGCTCAATATTCCTTTTTGCTGCGTTTTGACCGAGGAAACCTCCTCGGTTAGGAATTCAATCGCTCTTCTTAGTTCCTCCATATCCTCAGACGCGTTCTTCCTTGGAGCCATATTGTTCCGTTTTTGTTCCGTAAATCTATAATTTATTTTACTAAGTCTAATATTTCTATCAGAGAGGTAATGAAGTTTCTTCAGATCTCAGACCAGCTGCTTCTACAAAGTCATCTAAAGCATCTCTAGAAAACAAACATCTATCCTGAGATGTTTCTAACATCCAGAACAAGGAAGCTGCAGGAGAAACTGATCCAGAGACATAAACTCACCTGAAGGAGGAGGAGTTACATGTAGGTGGATGGAGCAGATGAGATTCTTCTCTCTGTTTTTTCCATGATAAACAACCTCAGCCTCATATGTTCCAGAATCATTCATCCTCACATTAATGAGAACCAAAGACACGTCTCCATTCTTAATCTCTATGTCCTGGAAAACCACTCTGTTCTTAAAAGATGGATGCTGGTTTCCTGTATCCACTGCATCATGTCTGTACCGTAGAATACTTCCTTCCTTTATATCCGTCGTCCTCCACTCTACATATCTGATGGGTCCATTTTCAGCTCTACATGGTAGAATCAGGTTCTCTCCAATCGCAGCTTTAATGTTGATCTGACCTGCAGAAACAAGAAGAGACAGTTTTGAATTTATTTGCAGCTTAGAAAAGGAGTTAATTTATTTTTTTCTGTTTTAGGTTAAAGCCTAAAACTAAAACTTCCAGGTTAATTTTGTTTATAGAAAATGTAAAGGAAATTAAAATTAATCAAATCAAGATTTGGTTCTTTGTTTAGTTTTCCTCTTTTAAAGCCAAAGCAGAAAACAAATCAATCCAGATTTTAGTTAATTTTTCAGTTTTTAAAACCTAAATGCAAAAACATAATATTTGGTTTCATTTTTTTGCGTTATAAATCAGCACAAAATAAACCGTTTAATTTCTAGAGCTAGCAGTTGTACTGCAGAAAAGATTAGATCTTAACATTCAGCCAATCAAAAAACATTTAGAATAAAAGAAAAAAACAGATTTATTGGTGAAAGTGTAAAGGTAAGGTTTGTTTGGCTATAATGAAAAAAGTAAAGAAAAAACACAGACAGGGTTAGGAGAAATAAGATAATTAAATCAGGTTATATGAACAAAATGCAGGGTAATAATTGGTGAAATTTCTCTAAACAGACATTGCAGCTATTAGGCAGTTGTTACTACTGACATCACTTTTTAATCCTGTTTTGTCTCAAAGACGGCAGAGATGATTAATTTCCTAATATTCTGCCAATGGCTGCATTCTAACTGTATTCATCAGTGGCTGCTGAACTTTATGTGACTGGAAAAACCCTCTGATATCAGCAATGCTTTGTGTTGCTTTGAAGCTCCACAATACTCTGCTATGAGCATCAGGAGGTTTGGCTTAGAGAACTATTTAAAATAAAAGCCACCCTCTAATGTTTACATCGCTCTCTGTGCTTTTATTTTGAAGTCTAGATTCCCAGGTGGAAACAGGAAATGCTGAGTGGTTGCTGAGGCAACGGCAGCTGGAAAATGATGGAGCCAGAGGCCACTGATTTCCTGACAGGGAATCTGTTCAGTTCAGCATTGAGATGGATTAGATATTGGAAACAATCAGCCACAGCATCTTCTAAGACAGACAGTCATCCATAGTGAGACGTTCACCATCCTAGTGCCCACTGACAGCATAATGCAGCAGACATTCAGCGTACGGCACAGACTACAAGGTTAACATGTAGAAAGTTTCCTCCATTTTCAGAGCCTCTGCTATATAGAGCTACATCTGTCTCAATTTTCAGAAACTCAGCATCTCTTCATCCATGCCTTTGATAAGTTTGTTTTGAAGTTGTGAGAGGCGCTCTCTGGATTTGATGAAACTTTTAAGCCTCTCAGTATAAAATAATTTGATCAAGATGAGAAATCTGCTTCATGGTATGCAGAAGTGACGATAATCTGCATCCAATCATTTAAATAAACGGTCTAGTTTTGGGAATATATAAGAATTATGCTCTAATTTGTAGTAACTGATCCATTGCTACCTCTGTAAAAGTGCTGAAAGCCTGAGTTCGTTTCAATCAAAGTTAAAAACTCATTTTTTTAGAGCTGCCTTTGACTGCTGAAGTTAAACTGTTAATGAAGGTATGGTTATTTTAAGGTTATGGTCCAAATGTTTCATGTTTTACTTGCTTTTATTTTCTTCTATATTATAGTTTAATTCGTGTAAAACACTTTTAATCGAACTTATACTGAATTGTGCTATACAAATAATCTTGCCTTATCTCTTTAGAGCAACTACAGCAATTACCTGTACTGCCCAGCCTTTTGTCAATACAACCCTCTTTAATTATACTTCTTATTCCTTTAGCACCCAAACTACCAGTTTCAGTCCGTGAGGCAGACACCCTGTCTACTTTTAAGGCTAGGCCTAAAACTTTCCTTTTTGATAAAGCTTATAGTTAGAGTGGCTCAGGTTATCCTGAGCTATCTCTATAGTTGCTGATGTGCTGATGAAGGTTCTCAGTCATCCAGGTCACAGTCATTCCGTAAAAATTCAAAAAATATCCACTGGATTTGGTTTTTAAGATTTGAATAATCTCTATAGTTATGCTGCTATAGGCTTAGACTGCTGGAGGACATAGGGATCCCCATTTTATCTTTCTGCTTCATTCCATCTCTAACGTTCTGCTCTCTCTCCTTTTCTCATAGTAGCTTCATCTGGTCTGTTCCTGTTTGGCTGTGACTCCATCCTGGAGAGAAATGTCAGCTGTGCTGCTGCCATCAACACCTTTGTTTATAGATGTTGGAGGTTGGCTTAGTGTGAGGGATTGCTTAAGAGTCAATGAGTCGATACAATCAGCTGGTTTTCCTTAGAGGGAAAACTTTGAATCAATCTGACTGGATGATCTGGTGAACTGTAAAGTGCCTTGAGATAACATGTGTGAATTGGCGCTATAGAAATAAAGTGAATAGAATTGGTAGAATCAGTATAATTGTGGTCCAAAAGGGTTCTACATTGCTTCCCTTTGTACACATGGCATATCTGCACTGTAAAAATCTGAACTGTCAACCTAAACTGCAGGGAATTAATTTCTCATTAAATGTGGACAAAGCAACAAACAAATGCTTGAACAGAATTCTTATTGTCCATATTAGATATTTTTATAAAGAGAACAACAAAGTTTTAACTCTCCATCTTGCCTCAAGAAAAGCCAATATAGCAGATTCAAAAACCCTGAAAGAAATGCTGGCTGATCCTTAAAATGGGACCAGACTAGGGCTGCAACTAATAATCATTTTGTAAAATGATTTCTCTGTCGATTATTTTTTTTCAAATAATTGATTAATAGTCAGATAGTGAAGGGTTCCTTAAAGAAGATTTTTTACAGAATTAAACCAGGTGAGACTAAAACTTTTCGACTTGCTGTGTTTCTGGATTTTTTCTTTATCTTAAATTTATCTTCTGGTATAATTACTGCTCTAAGTGGGTCGCACTGCCAGCTAAACACAATCTCTATACTTAACGATTAATCGATTACTAAATTAGTTGGTGATTTTTTAAAATAATAGATTAATGTTTCAATAATGATTAATTTAGCCCTAGAGCTGCTTTACAATTGTAATGTAACGAAAAAAAAAAAAAAAATCAAGAGTGGAATCACTATTTAGAAAGGAAACCTGCCCTTCTTGGCATCAGGAGGGCAGGATGATTTTCTGGCTCACCTGCACCCCCCGCTTTGTTTTTCACACTTTGCACATGTCAACCCACTGCCTTGATTCCCATTGTGCCAAGCTTGAATGACTTCTGGCACAAAGTACACCGTGCCTCATAAAAATGACCTGGTACTGGATCTAGCCATGCAGTAATCTCTTGGCTGAATAGGCATTTTTTGTCTGAATTTTCACCTCCCCACATTGTACAGGTAAGAAAATAGTGGGGCATCACACCAAGGTCCGGCAGCAGCATTGTTTTTATCCTAATCCTAATCATGGAATGCTAACATTTTAAGACTTATGAAAGACTGATTCAAAAAATGTTAATACCAATTAAGGCCTTGATTTTCTATTGAAGAATTCAATGCCGTTTAAGACTTTTTAAGGATCTGTGGGAACCCTGTTAGATGATCTTGATGGAAACAGCAATGTTAGAAACAACTTATTTTAAAAAAAAGGTTTTTAGACTCACTTGAAGTGTTTTTTTGACTTTTTAGAAAAAGAAAAATGTGCTAATATTGAGATGGAAGCACATTTGTTCAAATGATTAGAATCACACTTCTCTCTCGACGTAGACAGAAGAATTTAACAATGGCTCTGAGACTACAGTAAAAGTGCTTAGAAAATAAAACATATCAATAAATAATGACAATTCAAAAATCTGTTAAAAAGAATTTAAGTAATGCTGCATCCATCCTATTCACTCAGAATTTAGTGGTAAATCTGATATCAATCAGAATAGTCAGAATTTAATTACAGATATCTGAAATTAGTATTCAGCCCAGTCCAAATATAAATACATATATCCTAATTAACTACTATGTCTAGTAAAAAAACGATTCCACATATTTGGAATAGAAGTGTGGTAGAGCTGATTTTATGATAAAACGGTCTGCCACAAACTTTTTGAAGCAGATGTGTTGCTGAGAAGTGTTTCAAACTCACTCCAGCCACATATCAGCTTCGAGCTAGGACTTTAAGTTTCTGCTGGTGTAGATTTCTCAGTCATCCAGGTCATAGTCATTTCAAAAAAGTAAAAAAAAAAACAATCCACTGGACTTACTCGGACACACTCATTATTAAGCTATTGATGCTTCTCCTTTAAAGTCACACTGTGTAACTTTTGGCCACTAGGAGCACAAGAGCTGTAACTTTCATGTCTAGCTGCTGTTCAATCATCCTTTGCTTTATATAATCCCATAGCCAGTGAAGCAGGAAGCTGATTGGTCGTTTCCTTCATTAACTTTTAACTGCAGCAGTGAACAGAAGGCTGCTGCTGCTGCTGATTCTTCTTCTCTGGTTTTTGGCAGCTTCTGTTTGCGGTAAACAGATCAGGCATCGAAACTAGGAATGGAAAATAAAAAGTTTGAACCATTCCAGGAGAATTGAACAGTTGGAACCGGTTCTGATCCGTTATTGATTCTGGATGCCCAACCCTAACAGACAAGATAGCAGCCAAAATGGAGGGATGTTTAAATGAAACTCTTTATTATGTCCTGAAAAAGCTGTTTATATAGTTTAAATTTAAACAACTGGCTGCTGTTAGAGCTTCTTCCTATAAAAACTAGACGTTTATCACATCCGTAGTTATTTGATTGGTACATTTACATATTTATACCATCTATAAGGACCTTTCATCCTTATTTCACATATTACACACATTATTCAGAAAAATAAAACAGCAAACCAATAAAAGACAGTTTAATATTAAATCAGTTAAACTTATTTCTTTATAATATTGCACCATTAAACAGCACAGAGCTGTTTGTTTAGTATTATACAAAGAATATAGATAATTATAGATGATCTGCCTTCATGGAACCATTAGATTAATCACATTTAATGTTAATGTTTGTTTATCTGCTTCAGGACTGAATGCTGATATTTCCACTGATCTAAGGTCCAGATATTTCTACCATCTGGGAGTAAATCCAGCTAGAAGCTGAAAGAAAAGGTTTCTAGTGTTTTCTATCCCAGTCAGAGCTTTAAGTCTAACTGTAGCTCAGCTGAAAGTCCCTCTGATGAGGCTGGTGATGCTTTCAGAGCAAACCTCCAGCTCAGGTCTCTCAGGGTGAACAGGTTATTAGCTGGAGCTCACAGTTCTCCTGTTCTGAGTCACTATTCAGCTTTTCTGGCTAACTTCAGCTGCTTTAATCCACTTCCACCTGATCCTGTGTTCAAAGCAGCACCAGGCTCCAACTCTGAGCTCATTCCAGCTGTGAAAGGAAGCGGATCCCTGATGAAACCCTGTTAGAGGCTCTCAGAGGAACTCGCTACGTCTTCTTTTGATTCCCACTGGAGCAGGAAGTGATGATATGGAAAACCATTAACAGACATAATACTGCTTTGCTGTGTTTATGTTGATTGTTGAAGAACTTTGTTATCTAGAAAGATTCTCAATAAATTAAGTTTAACTCGCTGATCTGATTGATCTTAAATAAATTAGATCTAATAATTTAATCTAAAGTCATTTTGCGCCTTAATGCTTCCTTTTCCATCTAAATCTCTTCTTTCAGGAGATCCAGATCTTTCCAGAAAACATCTGGATCACATAAATCTCCTGTTTCTCTGACTGTGACTAACTGGATGTGCTCTCTTCATCCTCTGACATGGGAGCTGGCTCGGAGTTCGTCTGCCTGGCTGTGTGTTTCCTGGACGGGGCCGCCTTTTACAGCTGCTTTTTGTATCTCTGCTTCTGTCTCCATGAACCCCAGTCGGCCTCAGCAGATGGCCGCTCACACTGAGCCTGGTTTTCTGGAGGTTTCTTCCTGTTCAAAGGGAGTTTTTCCTCTCCACTGTCGCTACAAGCATGCTTAGTGTGAGGGATTGTATTTGAGTCAATGAGTCGATGCAATCAACTGGTTTTCCTTAGATAGAAAACTTTGTATCAATTTGACTGTATGATCTGGTTGAACTGTAAAGTGCCTTGAGATGACATGTGTTGTGAATTTGGCGCTATATAAATAAACTGAATTGAATTGAATTTTTTCCATCACTTGTTCCTCCTTTCAGCTCCGCTGTCAAAGCTCTGCTTCATGGTTTCTTTCTGGTCTCTCCTGCTGCTCAGGCTGCATCTCAGGATGGTTTTCCATTTCAGTTTCACGGAAAAGGAGGAGCAGAAGTCACTGCTGTTTGGGTTCACAGGATTCTCAGAGTTTGGTTACAAATCCTAAACATTTTTATTTCTAACATGCATGAATATTCCAGGGCCCCACATAGAGGGATGGGTAACCAGCGGGGCCCTCATAGGGGCCCCAGATGGAGGGATGGGTAACCAGCGGGGCCCTCATAGGGGCCCCAGATAGAGGGATGGGTAACCAGCGGGGCCCTCATAGGGGCCCCAGATGGAGGGATAGGTAACCAGCGGGGCCCTCATAGGGGCCCCAGATGGAGGGATGGGTAACCAGCGGGGCCCTCATAGGGGCCCCAGATGGAGGGATGGGTAACCAGCGGGGCCCTCATAGGGGCCCCACATAGAGGGATGGGTAACCAGCGGGGCCCTCATAGGGGCCCCAGATGGAGGGATGGGTAACCAGCGGGGCCCTCATAGGGGCCCCACATAGAGGGATGGGTAACCAGCGGGGCCCTCATAGGGGCCCCAGATGGAGGGATGGGTAACCAGCGGGGCCCTCATAGGGGCCCCACATAGAGGGATGGGTAACCAGCGGGGCCCTCATAGGGGCCCCAGATAGAGGGATGGGTAACCAGCGGGGCCCTCATAGGGGCCCCAGATGGAGGGATGGGTAACCAGCGGGGCCCTCATAGGGGCCCCAGATGGAGGGATGGGTAACCAGCGGGGCCCTCATAGGGGCCCCAGATGGAGGGATGGGTAACCAGCGGGGCCCTCATAGGGGCCCCAGATGGAGGGATGGGTAACCAGCGGGGCCCTCATAGGGGCCCCACATAGAGGGATGGGTAACCAGCGGGGCCCTCATAGGGGCCCCAGATGGAGGGATGGGTAACCAGCGGGGCCCTCATAGGGGCCCCACATAGAGGGATGGGTAACCAGCGGGGCCCTCATAGGGGCCCCAGATGGAGGGATGGGTAACCAGCGGGGCCCTCATAGGGGCCCCAGATAGAGGGATGGGTAACCAGCGGGGCCCTCATAGGGGCCCCAGATGGAGGGATGGGTAACCAGCGGGGCCCTCATAGGGGCCCCAGATGGAGGGATGGGTAACCAGCGGGGCCCTCATAGGGGCCCCAGATGGAGGGATGGGTAACCAGCGGGGCCCTCATAGGGGCCCCAGATGGAGGGATGGGGAACCAGCGGGGCCCTCATAGGGGCCCCAGATGGAGGGATGGGGAACCAGCGGGGCCCTCATAGGGGTCCCAGATGGAGGGATGGGTAACTAGCGGGGACCTCATAGGGGCCCCAGATGGAGGGATGGGGAACCAGCGGGGCCCTCATAGGGGCCCCAGATGGAGGGATGGGGAACCAGCGGGGCCCTCATAGGGGCCCCAGATGGAGGGATGGGGAACCAGCGGGGCCCTCATAGGGGCCCCAGATGGAGGGATGGGGAACCAGCGGGGCCCTCATAGGGGCCCCAGATGGAGGGATGGGTAACTAGCGGGGACCTCATAGGGGCCCCAGATGGAGGGATGGGGAACCAGCGGGGCCCTCATAGGGGCCCCAGATGGAGGGATGGGGAACCAGCGGGGCCCTCATAGGGGCCCCAGATAGAGGGATGGGGAACCAGCGGGGCCCTCATAGGGGCCCTAGGCGGCTGCCTCTATGCTGAGTCCATCCCTGTCCAGGATATTCAATGTTTTCTGGACTGGTTCAGCAGTAAAAGCCAGACTGGATCTGCTCCTATGTCCTTATTGCTAAAGCAAACAATAGATTTAATTCATGGAACCAAACTGGATCATCAGACGTCCAGCACTAAAACTGAAGCTTAGACTGTTACACATCTGAAACTTATTCATTCATGGATCATTTCTTTCAGTCAGATGGGACTTAATATTGATTATGTCTGAATTTACTCTGTAAAAAGTTAAATAAAAATTCAGTAAAAGTCAGAAAGTCATTAACAAACCTACATCTTATTTTACTAAGTCTAATATTTCTATCAGGGAGGTGATGAAGTTTCTTCAGATCTCAGACCAGCTGCTTCTACAAAGTCATTTAAAGCATCTCTAGAAAACAAACATCTATCCTGAGATGTTTCTAACATCCAGAACAAGGAAGCTGCAGGAGGAACTGATCCAGAGACACAAACTCACCTGAAGGAGGAGGAGGAGAAGGAGGAGGAGGAGGAACTACATCCAGGTGGATGGAACAGATGAGTTTCCCCCATTCATCATAAACAACCTCAGCCTCATATGTTCCAGCATCATTCATCGTCACATTAATGAGAACCAAAGACACGTCTCCATCCTTCATCTCTATGTCCTGGAAAATCACTCTGTCCTTAAAAGATGGATGCTGGCGTCTTGTATCCACTGCATCATGTCTGTACCGTAGAATACTTCCTTCCTTTATATCCGTCCTCCTCCACTCTACCACTCTGATGGGTCTGTTTTCAGCTCTACATGGTAGAATCTTGTTCTCTCCAATCACAGCTTTAATGTTCATCTGACCTGCAGAAACAAGAAGAGACAGTTTTGACTTTATTTGCAGCTTAGAAAAGTTGTTCATTTATTTTTTGTCTGTTTTAGGTTAAAGCCTGTCGTGGGAAAAAAAGTATTCAACTATTCATCCTAGTTAAATAAACGGAGATCGATGGATTTCACTCAGTCGGCACATTTAATAATCATCTTTGCAAAGAGAGAACAGTCATCATGGCACAGCATTCTGCTCTGTTCTGATCTGGGCAGGGTTCGTTCCCCCCTAGTTACAACAATAGAAAGCAGTCAGAGTCATAACAAATTACACACACTTTGCTTAACAGTAACATGTTATGAAAAAACCTTGAAAAAGAATCTGGATTGTTATGGGAAGAAGCTATGTCTGCTCTACAAACAACATTCTGCAGGGAATGGTGTGGCCTCCAGAGAGAAACAGACTGAGTGAAAACTTTTATAGAGAGTAAATATGAATATTAATATATAATGAGAGAAAGATATACATTTTCCCACAATAAGCCGAAAACTAAAACTTCCAGGTTAACATGTAGAAAGTTTCCTCCATTTTCAGAGCCTCTGCTATATGGAGCTAAATCTCTCTCAATTTTCAGAAACTCAGCATCTCTTCATCCATGCCTGCGATAAGTTTGTTTTGAAGTTGTGAGACGCGCTCTCTGGATTTGATGAAACTTTTAAGCCTCTCAGTATAAAATAATTTGATCAAGATGAGAAATCTGCTTCATGGTATGCAGAAGTGACGATAATCTGCATCCAATCATTTAAATAAACGGTCTAGTTTTGGGAATATATAAGAATTATGCTCTAATTTGTAGTAACTGATCCATTGCTACCTCTGTAAAAGTGCTGAAAGCCTGAGTTCGTTTCAATCAAAGTTAAAAACCCATTTGTTTAGAGCTGCCTTTGACTATTGAAGTTTAACTGTTAATGAAGGTATGATTAGTTTAAGGTTATGGTCCAAATGTTTTATGTTTTACTTGTATTTATTCTGCTTTATTTTCTTCTATATTATAGTTTAATTCAAGTTTAATTTCTCAGTCATCCAGGTCATAATCATTCCAAAAAAGTAAAAAAATAAATAAAATAAAAAAACACAATCCACTAGACTTACTCGGACACACTCATTATTAAGTTATTGATGCTTCTCCTTTAAAGGCACACTGTGTAACTTTTGGCCACTAGAAGAACAAGAGCTGTAACTTTCATGTCTAGCACCCCTAGTGGCCAAAAGGGCTGCAGCACTGTCCCAAAAGTAGGGTTGTCAAAAGTATCGATACTGAAACGTTGTATCCGGATACAATACTTGTTTTTAAAAGTATCAATACAGTGCCACCACCAGTGGCACCTAAGCAGTCATTCATCTAAAGTGCAGAATAGAGGACAATGCACTTTCAGAACACTGTGTGATTGAATAATTCTGTGCACTTTTCAGTTTCAGACTTTTTTTTTGTAACAGGTGCAGCTGCTAAGAATTATTTTTGTTTTTTAACTGGTTTGGCTAGTGTCATTGTTATGTGTGCAAAGCATAGCAAAGGAAGGAACACTTAATTTGAATTTTATACGTTTTTTATCAAGCTTGCTTAATATTGTGCGCAGCACAAAACCTCAAAATATTGTTCTTATTGTTTATTGTATTTATTTATTGTATTTTATTTATTAATGAAAATATTTCTGTAGAATTTTGGAGTCTTTGTTTTTATCCTTGTGGTATCGAAAATGGTATCGAGTATCGAACATTTTCCTTACTATCGGTATCGAGTTGAAAAGTTTAGTATCGTGACAACCCTACCCAAAAGTCAACAAACAGTCAGCCGACCTGCCTCCTGTGTCTTTTGATTGGGAACCGCACTAGGCACCTAGGTTCAGCTCTGAGGGCGTGAGAAACACTACTGATCCCTGGAGAGCAATGACGGGGCAGGCCGGATCGTGCTGCACAGACAACCAGACACGGAGCTCCAGTGCAGAGCCACCAACTTTGCAGGGCATCTCGGCTAGCTTTTGTTTTAAGCCTGCTAGCTTCCTCTGCCCATATTTTGCTTGAACTAAAAATCCAAAATAATAAAAACGATACGAGTGCATACTAATAATAAAGTTGAAAAAGAAAATCGGTTTTGCCTTAGGCATGACCAGTAGTTGAGCAGGTGGAAAAAGAGTAGAGCAAAAGTCTCCATGACAAGCTGTGGAAAAAAGCGTAACGTTCTTCTAGGTGACAAGACCTATTCAATGACAGTCTGTCTTCTCCCAACTTACATAGCCAGTATTTGAAGAGGGGAGCACCGCTTCTAGCACTGATAGTGTCAAGTGCTGTACTTTGGCCTGAGGAATCATTTAAAATAATTCATATGCATTTAGGTCAAAAAGTCTGTTGTCTTCATTTCATACGATCATCTTCATCAGTCAGAACCACAGCAGGAATGTGGAGAATGTGTGGGAACCACTGGACTGCAGAGTTGGTTTGGATCATTTCAATGATCAAAACATCTTCAATTATTAGTGATTTATTTGTGTTTTAGATGAAACCTGGAAAACACAGCATGACAGCAGCTGCTATGGTGGAAATACAGAAATTTAAATGGGAGGAGAAGACCTGCACTGGTAATGGGCTACATGCTGCCACTAGTGGCCAATCTAGAAAAATATTAGAAGAGGGTAAGCATTTTTCTGGTGTGGCGAGAGCAGTTTACATACACACACACATCCACACAAATGTTTGTTCTGCTATATGTAGTAAGGAACATGTGTTACCTTCCATTGATTTTCAGTCATTTCCAACCCTTTCTAACCCTAACCAGTAGCAAAATACCTTGTGAGGACCAGCAAAATGTCCTCACTTCACAACAACTGGTCCTAAATGTGATGGTGAAATTAAAAAAAAGGTCCTCAATCTGATTCCTTTACAGGTTCACACACAGTTTTCATTTTTAAAGCAGCATCATCTTGAAATACATTGTACTCACACTAAAAATCATTACATTTCTTTTTACTTAAATCTTTCTGTTATTTAAATTAAAGCAAACAATGATTAAAATTGATGAATGACCATTTAGATACACAGAAAAATGCCTGTTTCTTTAATTATAGTTTATTTTTTCATATTCAAATGGAGATGAGTGATGATGGCTCAGAATTTCTCCTTTCACTGTCCCAGAACTGCATGTTGACTCCTCACTCACTTTCTTTCTTATCTTGCTGAAACTCTTCCTTTTTTGATCTTTTCACTGCTGTGGCTCTCTGCCTCTTGTCCCTCATTACTATGGTCATCATCCATGTTCAAACTGGCAGATATATGTTCTCCTTCCACCTCATCTCCTCTGTCAACCTTTATTTGCTCTTTTTTTCTGCCTTTTCTCTTGCCTTTTTCTTCAGCCGGAAAATTAATAGATATGTTACCACAGCTTTTCTTCCAAATTTCTGTAAGATTTAAACTAACTTTACAATGTTTTCTTCTAGAAATTTTAAATGATTTTACCTTCCTTACCTTACACAGACCTAGCAATGCATGAACATGAATAATATTGTTAATGTTTCATTGTGTCAGACTCTATTACAACAATGTACAGACCAAGTTTTCTTTCTCTTTCCCTTTTTCTGCCATAAATTTGTTATTTCTACTTCTTTCCTTTGGTGCTGCTGCCTTGTTTCCTAGCTGCTGACACTTCGCTTCAAAACAAAAGATTCTCCCTGCTGCAGTCACACTCTGGTTGCACTACGCCATGTTGCATTTAAAACAGACGGACATTGGAACGCCCCACTCATAAGTGATCAGATGGCTGGAAAAAAAAACATTTAAACCCGGGAAAAATCGACTTTTAGTGACAGTAGGAACAGCCCGCTGACATGCGTCTACCCAGGTCAAACGACTCTTCTTCTTCTTCTTCTTCTTCTTCTTGTCGAGTTTTATGGCGGTTGGCAACAAACTGTTAGTAGCATTACCGCCACTTACTGGTATGGAGTGTGGTTCGTGATGGTTTAAATATTTATCCTGATACATTCTACCCTAACTTCTTCTAAACATACATTCACACTTAAAAATATATACATATTTGTGCACAGCTTTGTACATCATTCCTTCACTCACAAACACTCTTACTATAATTAAATTCTATGGAATAATTTTGTTTTCTTTAGAAATCGAATAATTATTTGTATGTGTTTACTCCCTAAATTTTTCCTCAGTATATCTAATAAATTAACCCTTTCCTTAATGTCTTCAAACTCTCTTCTCATATATCTTCTCTCTTTCATATCTATGACATTCTAATATAACATGTTCTATGGTTTCATATTTATCACAGAAATCACATTTGCCCGTTTTATGTTTTTGTATTTTAAAAAGTGTATAATTAAGTCCTGTATGACCAAATCTTAACCTTGTTATCACTCCTTCCACTTTCTTCTTCCATTTCTTCTTTCTTCTACCATCTTCTGAATTTTATAAAACCATCTTCCTGTTTTATCTTCATCCCACCTTTTTTGCCAAATTTCCATAAGTTTCTCTTTAATAATACTCTTTCCTTCTGATTTACTTATTTTAACTATAAAACTAATAGAATGTTTAATTGCCCTTTTTGCCATTTGATCTGCCCTCTCGTTTCCTTCTATCCCAATATGTGCTGGAACCCACACAAATGTAACTATCAGCCCCATGTTTCGTATTCTGAACAGTGTATGATTTATTTCTAATAAAATGTCCATCCTACTATCTGTTTGGTTATTTTTTAAACTTAACAATGCAGAGCTTGAATCTGAACATATTATTGTTTTTAATGGTTTTATGTCTTCTACCCATTGTAACGCTAATAATATTGCCAACATTTCTCCTGTGTATACTGATAATCCATCTGTAATTCGTTTTCCTATTTTTATATTGAATTCTGGTACTACAAATGCTATTCCTAGTTTCTCAGTTATTTTTGATGCATCAGTATAAATTTGAATATATTGATAATAACTGTCTAAATGTAACTGTACTAAATTGATATCTACCGTGTACGATTTATC